CGATGCTATGTGACTGCCTTTGCGTTGTGAGAAAGCGTTGATATCTCACTCTCTTGTCATGTGTTTTTTGATATTTCGATTGGGGAATATCTGCTGCACAAAACATGAGAATACTTGTCAAGTCAGGGGCATCTTGGCCTTCCTTGCCGTGTGTAAGAGACGTGCCAGGTTGGCAGACCATTCGCCAGAAGTCGATCCTAGATGTTGACTGGCTGAACATTCATGGTGCCGGTCCCCAGTGTGCCCAGCCCGCCGTGTGAGTTTTTCTGCAGCAGGCCGAGGGACGGACGTTTGAGACATAAAATATTGGGGATGTCGGACCTGTGGTTGCAAGGTGTATCGATGTAGGCCTGAATTCAGCCGTACCGCGCTCGAATGTTCCGAATGGATCTGGCTTTGACCCGTAACGAAAACTCCACCTCGCTGATGCTTTCTTTTGGTCTGGCTTTGTGAGTGAAGTCCTTGAGACGGCTTCAGGTCTTTTGACCGTGTCCTCCGTCAGCCTTTTCCTGGGCCAGATCAGCCGCATTCTGGTGGGGTCTGACTGAGGGGGGGGCTACAATATGGCAGCATCCCACTGGCTGACACAAGGCTGTCCTTTTTGAAGCAAGGTTTTTTGGTTGTTTAAAAGGAACAGCAAAAGGAGACGGAGGGGTATTTATTTTAGGATGTTTTTCGTTGTTTTTTGGGGGGGATTTTTTTTTTCGCTTTTGGCTTCTTGGCTTCTTGGCTTCTTGGCTTCTTGGCTTTTTGGCTTCTTGGCTTCTTGGCTTCTTGGCTTTTCGGCTTCTTGGCTTCTTGGCTTTTTTGCTTCCCGGCTTCTGGGCTTTTCGGCTTTTTGTTGGTGTATGCGGCTTTTGGTGGCTTTTTGTCTTTGGCTTTTTGCATCCTCTGCATTCCCAGTTCCTCTTCGGCAGGGGCGCTTTGGCTTTTGCGTTTACGCGGCTTTTTTGGCGGCTTTTGGCGGCTTTGGCTTCCCGCATCATCAGCATCACCAGTTCCGCCCTATTTGAATCATCGTTTCTTCGAACATCATGGGGGGGAAGCCCCCCCCCACAACCCACCCGCTACACTGTTTAGATTGTTTGCAGAGTAATTGCACCCCCATTTGAATCAACACTTCTTCAAACATCATGGGGGGGCTGTCGCCCCTCCCAACCCCCCCGCTACTTTTTAGATTTCTTGCAGAGATTGAATTGCACTCCTATTTGAATCATCACTTTTTCGAGCGTCCAATTTCGCGAGAAAATGCTGCAACATACGAGATTTTAGGTAATCTGTGTAGTCCATGTATGTCTGTATGTATGCACTTCTTCGAACATCATAGGGGAGCCACCCCCGCCAACCCTCCCGCTGCCTTTTACATTCTATCGCACCCTTTCTTGAATCATTGCACCCCTACTTCAATCATCACTTCTTCCGACATCATGGGGGGGGGGGCTGCCACCCCCGCAACCCCCCCGCTACGTTTTAGATTTTCTACAGAGATTTAAGTGCACCCCTAGTTGAATCATCAATTCTTCCGACATCATGGGGGGGGGCTGCCGCCCCCCCAACCCCCCGCTACGTTTTAGATTTTCTACAGGGATTTAATTGCACCCCTAGTTGAATCATCAATTCTTCCAACATCATGGGGGGGGCTGCCGCGCCCCCCAACCCCCCCCCCCCCCCCTACTTTTTAGACTTTTTGCAGAGATTGAATTGCACCCCTATTCGAATCATCACTTCTGCGAACATCATGGGGGGGGGGGCTGCCGCCCCCCGCTACTTTTTAGTGACTTTTTTACAGGGACTGAAATGCCCTCCTATTTGAATCATCATTTTTTTGACCCCGTCAACCCGCCAGCTACTTTTTTGATTTTGTTACCCACGATTTGTTGGTGATGCTAGGTATGTTGGTCGGACATGCGGGGGATGGGGCTAGTGTAAAATGCGTCAATTTCGCGAGACAATGCTGTAAAATACGACATTTTACTGGCCCGGACGAAAAACGTCCCAAACTAAAACCGAGAACAAAAAAGAGCAACACATCCCAACAAAAATATCCGCGACCAAAGGAGACACTCACACGCGTGCCGCCAGCCCAAACTCTGTTTTCGTGGATGATGAAATTCCAAACAGGAAACTCAGCCCCACTGATGGCTGTCACACTGAGATAGAGTACCACATTGCCCATGTTAGTTGTCTCTTACAATTTTACTGCGGCATAAAAATGATGTTGCAATTTGCCACTGACTTTGGCTTGTCAAGCGATTCTTGCAACGTGTTTCGGAGTAGCTTGCTTTGTCGCCCGTTGTTCATTCAAGAGGTGCACGCATTGACTCCCAGGGCTTGACAGACCTCCCCAGGCATGATTTGAGGAGACTTCCACTTCACAGCCTTGATGCAAGTCGGACTGTCGGAGGGCCGTGCTTTTATTCTCGTCCACGGGAGCCGCTGTGCTTTCGCGGAGGCGCGGCAGGCACCCAGCGAGTTCGAGGCCGGGAATTTCCATCCAGCTCGCAATGGTGCAATCGCAGCCAACTGCAAGCACAAACCTCTGAGCCCGACAGCTTGCCAGCTGGCCCTGAGTCGGTTGGTTCTCTGGATAGGTATGGCTGACGGCGTCTATCTATCTTCCATGGATCTACTACTGCTGGAGGCCTGGCTCAGGAATGACCTTGTGGAGTCAATGTTCACCATCTTTTGCTGTTGTACATGGAATGATACAGGGCACATTGGTCGGACTTTCCACTGGTGAATGGAGGACTCTTCACAAATGCTCGACTCAGTTCGGAGAGCGGTGGGTCTTCAGTGCGGCTTACATACTTCGGTAGGATCAGAGGGCTCAGGCTTGGCAAGTTGGGAGCAAGCGCTGATTTCGGCCACCATCCCGCGATCCGGATGCCTGCAATCAGGGACTCAGAGAAGCTGGAGAACCACTATGCGGTGACCTTCTATGCTTCTTGCGGTCGGATGCTGAGACGAATTGATGGCATTTTGAGCGGCAAAGGGCCACTAGCGACCAGACACCTCTCATGTTGCGGCTTTTGTGGAACGCTCTGTGGCTCAACAGCCCTTTTAATACTTGAAAACAGCTCCACTATACCTCGATGAGGGCTCATCATGTGAATCTGCTGCTTGAAATGGCCTGCTCGTCAGGCTGGGCCTTCATGTCGCTGTGCTCGCTCTTCTCGGTCGTGTATCAGAGCAAGGCCGGTTGAATGCTATGGCAAGCTGGAGTACATGAGTCAAGGAATCTCAGTCCTGCCCGGCGTCCAATCCTTTGTCACAAAATCGCTTTACCTATATCTTTGTCGTGGCTCGTACAAGACACTTGTTGAGGTGCAGTGTTTAGAAGATACGGTCGCATATGCTGACTCTTCCATGGCCCTCGGAGAAACCCTAGCTTTATACAACCTGCTCCAAAGGTGGACATTAATGGAGTGGCTTTTAGACTGCTTGTGCCAGTACCCGGAGTTTGCGTTCGACGTGCTTCTTGCCGGCAATGCCGTCTTCGCAGTGCCAGCCTGCCATGTTATCCATGAGGGCGTGCGATGTCGATCAACGCTCTATGAGATGTGTACGAGATACGGTTGTGTCTTGTTCTTTGTGGCATCCCAAAGCAACCCCGGAACGGGCACCCTCAAACAAAGAATAAAATCACGACGTGGCCTTGACGGCCGGAAGCGCGATCAGCGCCTGCCAGGGCCTGCATCTACTTCTACAGCTACCACTGGTCGCGCATGTATCGCCACTTCACGGTGCGCCAAACCTGGCCTTCACATGTCAGGTTTGCCTCACAAGGAATCTCCTCCATGTGTTTCCATTGCAGTCAATCTGTCATCAACATGTGAAGTGATCAAATAGTATGTACAATGAAGCCAAGTGCCCGCACCAACGAGTGCGTGCGAGACAAGCATGTATGCCTTGTTGATGGCTCGTGTTCAGTGCTGTGGCTATTTCTTGTTGGGCAGCCTCGTCCTGCTTCCAAGTGAAACCCAAGCTATGACCGCAAAGCAAGTTAGCAGTGTTTTGTTGAGTTGTCTACCAGGTCTTCCAAAAAACTCCATATCAGCAGCCAAGCTGCACATGTGCTTTTGACCTGTAAGACAGTAGCAGCCAATTATTGTTATCAATTACCCCGGCACGAGACCCCAAACAGTGATAGGCGGCGGTCACACGCTGCAGAGTATTGTGCGGGCAGCGCCGCAAAACGGCGGTTGTTGTCAGGAAGCTGCAACATCATTTTGCGGTATTTGCGCGCACACTCACAAAGACGAGGACACGTGGGGGGGAGTAGAGACACATGCAGCACCAAGAAGAAAAAGGCGCACAGGCATGGCCAGCAGGCATGCTCTTTTTTCTTCCATGAGCAGCACATATCGGTGAGACGGCAGAATCGCAGGACAGGGCTGCTGGGATAGACGCGTGGCACTGCGCGCAGCCGCAGCAGGCCAGTCTGTTGGTAGATGCAAAGGCGCTGCGGTCAAGGCGTGGTAGCTTGTCGCTGCAAACAGCCGACGCGGCGCGCGCAGAGTGCTAGTGGCAAGCTCTCGCAGCACAGAGGCCCAAAGACTGTGCTGTCTGGCTCGGACCCTTCCACAGCAGGCGTGTACATAAAGCGCGCGCTCCCAGATCGCAGGGCGCACAAGAAGGCGTCAAACTCATTTGGCGCCATGTTATCGAGGCAGTTCATGCGGTGCAGCGCTGCGAGGGGCGGCAGGCCGCGAAGGCGCGGATGAAGACACAGACGCAGACACAGACAGACACAGACACAGACACAGACAGAGACGCAGACGCAGACGCAAACACAGACGGAGACGCAGACACAGACACAGAGACACACACAGACACAGACACAGAAACAGACAGAGACAGAGACACAGACACAGACACACACAGACACAAAGACACAGACACAGACACAGACAGAAACACAAACACACACACAGACACACACACACACAACTGTAGAAGTGCGTTGAGCAAAAGTGCACAAAAGTGTAGGCAGTGTGACATCACGTAGAGTTCATGGCTATTTGCTCACACCGTCGCCAAACACGTTGGGCGTCACACGGATCGGCCGCTTCGTACTGCGCGTGCCAAAAAACACGCTTGCGGTACTCCGCCCAATTGATATGCTTCGTGTCCAGATCCGACCACTCAACAAAGCCATCCCCGCAGAGTTGACAAGGTCTCGGCGCCGTCAAGACAGGCAACAACTCTTCAGGCAGTGTCCGGCACGCGCCGAAACCGGCCATGGCAGCCTCCCGCTTGAAAGACGGAGGCGACGCGCACGTGTCCACGCGCTCAGACAAGATGTACGTAGCGGGTGCCTTCAGCAGTCCCCGGCATTCTGTCACAACCTCCTGCACGCGGGGCTTCCTGTGTTCTCGATGTTGTAAAATACCAAACCAGCCCACCCACACCATGAGCGTGCCCAACGACGCCGTGGCCCAAAGCTCTCGAAGCGCGTGAACTGACAGGAAGGTGTCGAAGTCATTCACCAGAGTCGCAAGATGCTCTCGCTCCTTCACACCCCAGGCGCTTTCAAACCACGCTGCTTGGTCCGGCATACTGTTCCGTGCAGATTCCAGAGCATTCACCAAGGTGTGGACGCTCCCCACACATCTTTTAGCATCAGTTTGACATCGCGCTCGCATCACCTCCACCACCAAAGGTCCATCCAACAACGGCAACTCAATCCGCCGTGCAACCACAACCGCGTGCTCCAACTCCATGCCCGCCAAACGCCGCAGGACTTGCTGACCATCCCAGTGATGCGGAATATGCACGTGCCGGAAATCTTGCGCAAAAGGCGTACACTTCCTTTGCTGGACATCTTTCAGGCTACCTGCGAAAGCTTGTACTGTTTGTGGACTTCGAAGAAGCGTTTCCGGATCTTCTCGACAAAAATTGCGCACGGCGCACCAGCGCTGCGGGTCCAACTGCAGGAACCTCCGGAAACGCTCTAGAGCTCCACGACGCGCTTCCAGTGTCGCAAACGCGGATGATGGACGCACCACCCGCTTCTGGTACTTCCGTCTTTCTTTGCCTGCAAGTAACATCGAAGGAACTTGTTCCTTGTTGCTCACAGTTCCTGCATGCAAACCTTCCAATAGATTGCTTAGTTCCTGCGGCACCGGCAACACCGCGAGTCTTGCGCGGCACGACGCGATTCTGCTGCAGCCACACGACAGCCTCCGCCAAAGTACCGAGGGGCAACCTGCACGCGTTGCTCCACCAACGCGCCGGAACTTTTACGTCCGCTGCCGCGCGCGCAACCGCAGACGCAGTCACGCCCTGCTCCGCGTCACCCAAGGCGTCGCTAACCGGCGTTTCTTTCAGAAATCGAACGCAGGCGCCGCGCAACTCGGAGCGCACACTTTGCGCTGTGCGCGGTCTGCCACTGGCATTTCGTATTTCGATCCCCCACACACTGCTCGCTTTCCTGAGCTCATCTGCACCCGCTCCCAATGCACGAAGGAGCTCTGTCAGTCTGGCCACCTCCTGCGCCGCCATGAGGAGGACCTCTCCGTACTCTTCCAGTTCCCTCCCCATCTCGCCAGGCACGGCGTAGTCCAGAAGAGCCTGAAATGAAACCGCCGGCAGCACGGCGAGAAGCTTGTCCTTCTCCAGCGCCCGAAGCTCTTCCTGCTGCAAACTTCTCCCACCTTGTTTCCGGCTAATCCCTGCGTTCTCGCACGCCGTCCATAAGCCCTGTCGATCCGAAGATAAACCTTCCAACAAAGCACCCGCCTGCGCAGCCGCAAGGTCTCCCAAGACACATGACCCCAGATGCTCGAATTCCGCGTGCACATCGGCAGGCGCGGCTTCCAGCAGCATCGCCAAGGTAACCTGCCACGCAACTCGGAGCGCACACTTTGCACAGCGCGTGTTCTGCCACTGGCATTTCGTATTGCGATCCCCCACACACGGCTCACTTTCCTGAGCTCATCTGCACCCGCTCCCAATGCACGAAGGAGCTGTTTTTCTCTGGCCGCCTCCTGCGCCGCCACGAGGACCTCTCCGTACTCTTCCAGTTCCCTCCCCATCTCGCCAGGCACGGCGTAGTCCAGAAGAGCCTGCAATGAAACCGCCGGCAGCAGGGCGAGAAGCTTGTCCTTCACCAGCGCCCGAAGCTCTTCCTTGTTTCCGGCTAATCCCTGCGTTCTCGCACGCCGTCCATAAGCCCTGTCGATCCGAAGATAAACCTTCCAACAAAGCACCCGCCTGCGCAGCCGCAAGGTCTCCCAAGACACATGACCCGAGATGCTTGAATTCCGCGCGCACATCGGCAGGCGCGGCTTCCAGCAGCATTGCCAAGGTAACCTGCACGCTTTGCTCCACCAACGCGCCGGAACCGCAGACGCAGTCATGCCCTGCTCCGCCCCACCCGAAGCGTCGCTGACTGGCGTTTCTTTCAGAAATCGAACGCAGGCGCCGCGCAAGGAGCGCACACTTTGCGCTGTGCGTGTTCTGCCACTGGCATTTCGTACTGCGATCCCCCACACACTGCTCACTTTCCTGAGCTCATCTGCACCCGCTCCCAATGCACGAAGGAGCTCTGTCACTCTGGCCGCTTCCTGCCGCCACGAGGACCTCTCCGTACTCTTCCAGTTCCCTCCCCATCTCGCCAGGCACGGCGTAGTCCAGAAGGGCCTGAAATGAAACCGCCGGCAGCACGGCGAGAAGCTTGTCCTTCGCCAGCGCCCGAAGCTCTTCCTGCTGCAAACTTCTCCCACCTTGTTTCCGGCTAATCCCTGCGTTATTGCACGCCGTCCATAAGCCCTGTCGATCCGAAGATAAACCTTCCAACAAAGCACCCGCCTGCGCAGCCCAAGACACATGACCCGAGATGCTCGAATTCCGCGCGCACATCGGCAGGCGCGGCTTCCAGCAGCATCGCCAAGGTAACCTGCACGCTTTGCTCCACCAACGCGCCGGAACTGCTCGGGCTTATGCCCTCACCCGCGCGCGCAGCCGCAGACGCAGTCATGCCCTGCTCCGCCCCAGTCGCTGACTGGCGTTTCTTTCAGAAATCGAACGCAGGCGCCGCGCAACTCGGAGCGCAAACTTTGCGCTGCGCGTGTTCTGCCACTGGCATCTCGTACTGCGATCCCCCACACACGGCTCACTTTCCTGAGCTCATCTGCACCCGCTCCCAATGCACGAAGGAGCTCTGTCACTCTGGCCGCTTCCTGCGCCGCCACGAGGACCTCTCCGTACTCTTCCAGTTCCCTCCCCATCTCGCCAGGCACGGCGTAGTCCAGAAGGGCCTGAAATGAAACCGCCGGCAGCACGGCGAGAAGCTTGTCCTTCGCCAGCGCCCGAAGCTCTTCCTGCTGCAAACTTCTCCCACCTTGTTTCCGGCTAATCCCTGCGTTCTTGCACGCCGTCCATAAGCCCTGTCGATCCGAAGATAAACCTTCCAACAAAGCACCCGCCTGCGCAGCCGCAAGGTCTCCCAAGACACATGACCCGAGATGCTCGAATTCCGCGCGCACATCGGCAGGCGCGGCTTCCAGCAGCGTCGCCAAGATCATTGCGCCCATGGCTGCGCAAGCATCATTACAAAAGGCAAGGGTGCCTGAGTTAGTGAGTTAGCTAGCTAGGTAGCTTCTTCCTTGGTTCTCGTTGTTTTGTCTCTGTATTTCTTTCTTTCTATGAATGTGGCGCTGTTGCTGTTGCTGTTGCTGTTGCTTTTTGGTTGTTGTTACCATCGAGAAGCCGTTGCAGCACAGAAGCAAAGAAAGGGAAACAAGCTCGCGCGGACAGGGCGGGAATCGGGCCCGGGACCTTTTGCCGGAAACACGTGCCGCCGGACCACGAGACAAAACCCCCCACGGTCCCTGGAGCCGCCAAAAAAGCAAACAAATCGAGTTTGCACGAGCCTGCGCAATCGAAACGCACTTCAACATCAAGCAAAAGCAAGAATCTGCGGCACATACCACGCGAAACGCTCGCGGACAGAAGTCGACACCTCACTTTCTGCGAGCCTGCGCAGTCGAAGCGCGTTTCAACATCAAGCAAAAGCACGAATCTGCGGCACATACCACGCGAAACGCTCGCGGACAGAAGTCGACACCTCACTTTGTGCGAGCCTGCGCAGTCGAAACGCACTTCGACATCAAGCAAGAGCACGAATCTGCGGCACATACCACGCAAAACGCTCGCGGACAGAAGTCGACACCTCACTTTGTGCGAGCCTGCGCAGTCGAAACGCACTTCGACATCAAGCAAGAGCACGAATCTGCGGTACATACCACGCAAAACGCTCGCGGACAGAAGTCGACACCTCACTTTGTGCGAGCCTGCGCAGTCGAAACGCACTTCGACATCAAGCAAGAGCACGAATCTGCGGTACATACCACGCAAAACGCTCGCGGACAGAAGTCGACACCTCACTTTGTGCGAGCCTGCGCAGTCGAGACGCACTTCGACATCAAGCAAGAGCACGAATCTGCGGTAAATACCACGCAAAACGCTCGCGGACAGAGCGGGCACCTCAATCTGGCACCAAGGCCTTTTCTCTTACCGTAAGAACCCCTTAGTGTAGACACACTGTTTGGGGAAAAAGAACAGCGCGTCAATCTTCCACCCTGAATTGCTGGGAAGTTCAGGGAACTGCAAACCACATGCACTTGCACCGCGTTTCTTCTCGATGTCTTTTCCATGTTGGATCCGTGAGATGTTCCGTGTGTAAGGGCACTCCCCTCTCTTTGTGAGCGAAACCTGCCCCGTCGCAGCAAAACCGCTTCCGGCCGCTCTGGATCCCTGGCCTGCTGGGCTTGATGCCGAGACCTCAGATCGCGCTTCCGAAGGCCTTGCGTGAAAAGTCTGATCAAAGTGGCTGAGTCTGTGGAGCTTGGAACGCCATTGGCAAAGCTTGGGCCGAGGGCGCTGCACTCGCTGACGCCACTGGACTTGATGAAGCGGCTGGACGACCCTGCCCCGCCCTGAAAGTGCCTGGTGAGTCGGGATCTCCAGCCCGCCTGCGAGGGATGGTGGAAGACGGTCTGCCAAGTGTACAGCGACGAGTCGGGATCCTTGGGAGGGGGCCAAGTGCAGGTTACAATAACTCACAGTGAGCTTTGGCTTGCCGCAATGTTAGGGCTCTGAGTTTGCAGGCTGTGACTGATTGAGCGATCGAAGTATGGCTAGTCGAATCTTCTTTCTATAATATTTTCAATTGGCAATGTCATCATCATGTTTGTGGGGAGGTTCGTCTGGCTTGGAACCACAAGCCCTCTGTGGTAGGTGGTGGTGGGTGGCAGACGTGCGCATCATTGAGCTGCCGGGCACGCCCAGCGAACAGGCAGGCAGGCCAGCAGGCAGGCAGTCAGGCAGGCAGCGAGAGCGGTTGCTGAGACGAGAGGACTCGGCACCTTACAAAAGTATGATAGGGATTCGCTTGAGGTTTGTGACAGCGGCCGCCCTCCTGCTGATCATCATGCACATCCAGGTGCATTGAGTTACTGCGCTGAAATTCTTGAAACCCGTTTGGGGACTGCCAAAAGCTGCGGACCTGAGCGCTTCTCTGGATCAGCCTCTGTCCTTGTAGGGTGTTTTCACCGGCATGAAGAATGCGGCGGTGGTGGTGGTGGCCTTGGTTGCTTAGGTCGTAGATGGAGCGGCTTTGCGTGCCAGCGTAGCCAGTGTAGCCATCGTGGCCCTGCTGCTTCAAGACGCATTTGCATGCCTCTAAGTCACAAAAACGCAGTTGGACATGTAACGCAAGCCCCCAACTTTCCACGTAGCCTCAAACAGTGCAATGACTTCCTTTGTCAGGGACACGGAAGGCAGCTCCACGCAAGTATAAGTATAAGCTTTGCAAAGAGATGCTTGCATTTGTCGCTTGGGCAAGCCCGCAGAGGTGATTGGAACCATATTTGCACCCCTGGGCCTCATGGTCCTGGAAAGCACGTGGCTCAGGCAGGGCGTTACCCCGAACTGGATAGCTGTTTTTGAAGATCCGCTCTTTCTCGTGTGTTTTGCTTGGACTGTCAGCGCAGCTGCTGTAACAAGGCAGTTGGGCACGGTCAGCATTCTGCATCATTTGTTTTCGGGGGGGGGGGCGGGTGACATGCGCTCGCCCAACATTACAGCACCGTTTCTAGCTTCTGAACAGAAGTTAGTCACCACCATCCGACTTAAGTTGTGAACAGGATGAAGACGGACCATAATTCGACTACGTGCCATTGGCCTATGGCCACCTCCGCAAGAGACGTTGGTGTGTTTGACGTGCTTTCTGCTGCATGGCGCCCTGCGGGTGCGTGGTATCCAACGCAGAGCCAACCCAGTCTTTGTGTGTCGTGCAATCTAAGGCATATATTTTAGTTTCGCATGCCTTGAATCAGCCAGCGTAAAGTGTGTTTCTGATGGTTTTCCAGCCGAGGCGCGGAAGCCAGTGGATTCTCACCGCGTCAAGTCTCTTTGAGTTTCTGTTGGAGCCAGCTTGCACATGTTGGCACACACGATCTTTGCTTGCTGGACTCAAAAGTAGCAGATTCTGCCCTGAATGTCAGCCCTCCTCGTTTGCTGGAGATCGCCGGCAAACACTGGCAAGGGCATGTTGTCACGGGGCATCAAAGAGCATAGCTCACGATTCCTGCATAATCGCCAGGGCGTCTGCATGGCAGCCCGGGGCCCTTGACTGTGCTGGGATACCTGCTCGGCCACTTAGCCATCTCCGAGTCACTTGTGTTATTTTGTTTTTTGCAAAAGTAAGTAAACAATTCAAGCCGGCTACCCCTGACCCCAGCGCTGAGTCTGACTGTGATCGGTGCACGGAGCATTTATGAATCTCCGTTTTTCTTTCGAGACTAGCACGGGTTGCGTCATGCAATTGGCCACAATGACCTGTTTCATTCCCCAGTGGCAGCATTTCATCGAGGCACTACCTCATGGTGGGCCCAAAGCATCAGCCTCGGGAGGGCCCAAGGCAAAGAGTAGCAAGGAAAATGGCATGGAAAAGCAGAGATGCACTGTCAAAAGAACAAAGGAGCAAAAGGAGCTGCTTTGAGTGTGCCAAGGTACTGGTGATTGCCGCACCTCCGTTTTTCCTCCTGTTCTGAGCTTGATTGGTGAGAGCGGCCAGGTGCTCGGAGCCTTTTAAGTTGAAATGAAGAAGGAGGTCGACCGCCAGCTGAGTAAAAGCTTCAAAACGCTTGAAAGGTAGAGAGAGAGAGTCTTTCGGCTGTGACTGATGGGACTTGGAAGTGGCAAACTATTCACACACACACACCATTACAAAGGTGCAGCTCATCCTGCCAAGCCTTTCAGCGATAGCCCAATAGATAGCACCCTTCGCGCGAGGCTTCTCAAGCCAGTTACACGTCAGGCTGGTCACTGAGGAAGCTTCGAAGTTTGTATCTTTGTGCCGCCAGTGGCCGCATGCGTCAATTCGCACTGGCAGCTGCCACAAGGCTCTGGTGTTGTGATGGAACATGGATGTTTTCACAAGCTGTTCAGGCAAGCTTCGGGTTGACAGTGTGAGACTCAAAACTTCAAGGCTTCAAGCTGGTGCAAGGGCGGCTGGCGCCACCGAAATCCCCAAAATCACCACATGGTTGCATGCGCCTCGCATTGAAGGGCTCCTGAGTACATCAGCTGGTCCATGACATGTTGTTTGACAAGCGCCCATCTGATGCGTGGTCCATTTTCGGCCCGAGGCCGTACCAACGTGGGCCATGTGGGACCCAAGTTCCCTCCCTGCGTGCCATCGTATCAGAAACGTCGCACGCAGGCTTCAAGCAGGCTCCAATCCGCCGAGCAATGCTGGCTGAATCAACATCAGAACCAATTTATTTCGCTTATTTCTAAACGAGTGGTTTTCGGGCGCCTTTAGGACCAAGCTTTGGTCATGACTCAGCTGAGTTGCTGGCAGAGAGAGCCGTGGTCAATTTTTTCACGCGCGGCCCCGGCCTTTTTAAGGACCCCTGCCCACTTGCGCTGAGGCTCTCAAAGCACCGTGAGTGCACACACACACACACAAAGGGCAAAGCTGGAGTACTTTCAAGGCGACTCTCTACATGGCGTTTGCTGTAGAGATCAGGTTCGGGCCTTTGCTTGGCAGGCAGTTTGCTCGCTGGCTGCCTTGAGCTGAGTAGCTGTTGGATCGCAGGCCACAGTGAGAGATGAACACGAAAGGAAGGCAAACAAACATCCTGATGTTTCAAATGTCGCATTCAAAACAAACATGACCTCACCTGTGCACGATCTTTGAAGCCGAATGGCTCATGAACGGAACAGACCAACTCTCAAGACATGCATCGCAGCCCGGCAGAAGAGATCACTTGGCCGCCATGGCGCACGCCCGCGCCGTCCGCGCGGGCCGCGCCCGCGCGGGTTCTGCGGCGGGCCAGCGCCGGCCTGTGCGCCGCGCTGTGAAGCGGAAGCGTGTGGCGCCGCAAGCAGCAAGGCCAAAGAGGTCGCCCAAGGCGCCGCCCACGGCGCAGGCAGGCCTCAAAAGTGGATACTTTTTGGAGTGTTTTGCTCTATTTTGTTGGACACTTTCGACTCATTGCGCCAGACCATGTGTGTTTTTGGGAGTTGCTGCTGTTGTTGGGCTGCCTGATTCAATGGCTCAGTTCTTGTGTGGGAATGTGACTTGTTAGAGTCAAAGAGTCTTGTCTGAGGCCGCGGAAGAGAGTGATGAGGAGTCCACAGATGATGAGGACAGTGATGATGAGGAGATGGAAAAATGGGAGGAGAAGCTGCTGGAAATGGAGGAGCTGGTGCCACCTTTCCACTCGAATCCTCCCATCTCGAGGAATTTCCATGCCGTTGCCTGGTTGAACATGCTTCAATACAGGCGCATTGTCGCAGCCCTGGCGGGTCATGCCAAGGATACACACATTCGAACAACTTGCACCCCGCTGAAAGGATCATTCACATTTTTGAAATAGGGAGAAGCAGACGGCAGACTACTCCCAGAACATGCCAAGACTGGGGAGCCGTCTTCGGCAGTGGAGCATTCCCTTTGAAGCAGGTATGCCACATGCAGCGTATCACGCCAGTCATGAGCTCTCCGACAGGAGGTGCTGCCCCGGGACATGCATCCCCGCGCGAGGGAGGCGCCGCACCTGGTCTCCAAGGCAAAGAAGGCCGTGAGTCAGCTGGCATGTCACTTGAACTGCCCCTTAACAGACATGTCGGCAAACAAGTGAGCATATTTTGAACATCCGCCGAGGCCTTTTTACGACTGGTTCACTTTTTTTCTTACTGGTCTTGGCACGTCGGTGTTGGACAACTCTTTGTGGCGGACGGGGTATCTACACCGAGTCCAAGTCGGTGAGGCTTTGAGACCGGTTGACCCTGGCCAGGTGCCTTACGAGCTGGCGATACCCACCTACCAGCGCTGGATGCCAGTCTGCCAGATGAGCAAGAAGTGCCTTGGGCCATGCGGCCATGGAAGGAACCCAAGAACCCCGTTGAGAAGTTTGGACGACCCCCTTTTTTTTGGGGCTTTGGTTTCTCCCTGTCAGTGCTGGCCCCGTCGCTTTACTCTGGGACAAATCAATGTCAACAAAGGCTCCTTGTTCTGTCAGACTCATGGAGTCTGGATGTTTGAGGCATCGGTTTCGCAAGTGCAAGATGCCCTTCATCTTAGCGCACACGCTGGGCATGCTCTCCAGGCCAGAATCCCGGAAAGCGGTTTGGGAACCTCTCACTTGGAATTGGGGAGAGTTCAGGCTGTCGGTCTGTCAACTCTTCCCACTGCTTCTTGAGGGTTGGCGAAGTCGACCCATGTCCATCTTTCCCTGCCCCCAAAACTTTGACCCCTTTCCCTCTACACCGGAGTTGGCTCAAAAATAGGTGCCCAAAACGGAACCATGGCAACTGGAAAAGTAGACCAACACCTGCGGTACCCTGGGTCTCAATTAAGTTTTCAGCCATGCCCACTTGTTGAAACAAACAACCAGCCCCAGTTCATTTTGGGTGTGTAAAAGGAGGGTTACTGGCCTAACGCACCTTCCCTTGCCACATCCAGGCAGAGGATCCCCGTGTCCCGAGTCACACTCTTCGTAGCCAACGAGACGGAGCGTGGGCACTACCGCAAGGCCTTGCAAGATAGTGCCTGGGAGAAGGTGCCTCGGTCCTGGCTCACCAGTTTCCCCTCATGGTTTCCCCTCATTCTCAGGACCCTCAAAAGTTTTCAAGGACCCTAAGAAGAATTCTTGAGAAGGTTCTGAATCTTTCCTGGGTCGGTGGGTTTTCTCTCTCCAGGTCAACCAAGCCACAAGCCTGGCATCTTTTTTGGCTGGTTGGTCTGGAAGATCAGCCGAACGGTGATCCTTTCTGGGCCAGTTCCCCGGATAAGGTGCGCATCGAGCTGTCGGTGCTGGGCAACAAAAACTCCAGGAACTTCATCATGACGCCCGGCGCACCGCCCAACTTGGCCATTTGTGCCTCAAACCGGCTTGGCTTAGTTGAAGCACAGGTCCGGGACCCATCGCACCAGCGCATATTGCTTGAGGGATTATTTTATATTTTTTTTGTGTGTGTGTGTGTGTGTTTGCGCGAGCGCGAGTGAATGACTTGGGTGCAAGTGGCCACAGCCGAGCGACAAGTGAGAAGCACTCGTGTTGGAGGCACTAAATCAATGATGGTGCTGCTGCCAGTCATGCTTTGGTTTTGTCAAGGAAATTCTTCCCTGCTGGCACCTATGTGGTGAGCATCGACGATGACGTGGAGAGGACAGACATGCTTCGATCTTGCAGTACATGTATGTAGAGATCGGCAGGTTGCAATATTCAGTTACGCCAAGATGATGAAACAATATAGTAGGTGTGTGTGTGTGTCTCTAGGTCCTCGCCTTCCTTGAAGTCTGGTCTACACTTCAGAACGATGTGAATCCCAGGGTTTTCAAGAGCTCGCCCAATTAAGCATAGCCCAGCCTCACCCTTCCTGGATGTCGCACCCAAAAGCCGCGCCCGACAGGATCAGCTGGAAGATCCAGGAGGGCATGACGCACCACGTGCTGCGGACTCTGCCGCCTGGCTCGCTGGTGCGGCGGCCAAGACTCGAGCCATCAAAACCCGGATAGGTCAAGGTTAATAAGGGACAATCCCCTTGTTTGTGGCTTTAAGGGGAAACCTAAATGAAAAACAGGGTTCAGGGCAGCCACAATCAAAGCTCGGATAGATGACCCAACTATAAATAGGTGCGGCCGCCTTCTTAATTCTATACATGGTTCTGGTAGATCATCTTTATTACCGGGTTGGATTATGACTCCTGACTCAAGCTCAGGGAGCACTCTCGGGGACAGCATTTTCCAGTCGACTGTCCGGGACCACGTTGTGGGAAGACAATCGGATTCCCCCTTGGAACCAAAGGATCATCCAAGTTTCCCTGCTCCAACGGAGGCAACAAGAGACGCATGGCTCCAATGGCCTTGGCTTGTGGTTCACAGGGATGGGCTGAGACAATTGCAGTACGATGCTTGGCAGAGTTCTTTGGCCACGGGTTCAGAGTGATGTTCAAAGGTCTCTGGATCATAGATATCCAAACTGCAGTTCTGTTCAGGAGACCATCATCTTCGATGCCTACAAGCAGATGCGTGATCACAAAGCCTTCCTGTGGGGAGTTTCCACCTCGCAGAATGCCCGGCACATGAAGACGTACGGGGTCTGCGCCGGCATGTTGAAAACGCATGAGCAAACATGTGCAGTCATGTCACGCCCCTCGCGGGAGTCCCCGGGTTGCAGCATTGTTCATTATGTCACTTAATGATTAGTGGCTTGAGTCATAGGACAATTTGGGGCGTGGAGCCATCCCAGTGCAAAGACTGCCCGACCCATGTTGGTGGCAACCTCCTGGGTTTGCCTGAAATGAGCCGCAGATCTCCAAGCGAAATGGCCTGGTCAATGGGCCTGCGCCTTAACTGGAGAGAAAACCGCCAAGCAATGAAACCCGAGAAACCAAGGACGACGTAAACCTTGTAGCGTCAATGTCCTGTAAGCAGCAAGCACGAGCAAGAAAGCACCAACCGGCATCTCGTAGCTCGATGCACCATGCTCAGAGGGTTGTGTCCATGACCTTGATTTTGCCTGAGGTATCTCAATGGATACATCAGCCGCCCTCAATGCAAGGCAGGTACCGGATCTCAAGTTGCGTGAAGTTCTGAACAACGTGGTCTTCCTCTCACGAAAGCTTGATGTTTCCTATGTGCGAGGGTGCGTCTTTGCTTGAAGCTTCGTACGCTTTTTGAGGATTTTTGAGGTGGCTGTAAAGGACAGCCAAAAGGAACACAACCATTGGGAAGGGTTCCGCATCTCAAGCTATGGCCAAACAGGGCGGTTTCTTTTAATTCCCCATTCAACTCACTGAAAAAGGGGTTACCTTGCAACAAACACTCCCTTGCCCCCCGCCGAATTTGGCCCATTTGGAGCTGATATTCGAACCCCGAATCCATTTTTCAATTGAGCCGGGGAAACACACGTTGCATGTGTCAATGTAAGGCATGATCCCAGTTGTTTTGGACCTATCAAATCAGCTGCACCGCCGCTTGTAATTTGAAGGGCAGGATTGTGTTGCAGGGGCGGCCGCGCAAGTCAAACATGGGGCTGCGCAAGTAAAGCGCTAGTGAAGCGCAAGTGACGCAGTGATGATCGATTCATCATCATCATCATCATCACCACCACCATCATCATCATCACCATGGCCCAAAGATTAACAGTTTTCGTGCAAGTCCTGCGCAAGTCGCCCGCAGCCCGCAAATGCTTCCAAACTGCTTGGAGCAGGAGCGGCCCATTTCTGTATTTTGCATTTTCCTTTTTCTGAAGATTCCAGCAATTTTGCTGAGTGCATTTGTTAGCAGAAAATTTGCAGCGGTGTGTACACATGAGACCTCATACATTTAAAGGGGCATGCTATTGGGGGACCTCACGTTCATGAAGACCGCCGCTTGGATTTGCAATGAAAACAACTTGGGATAATAATTTTAATACTTTTTTTTTCCCCCCCCAGCTCAATTGCATGGCTATGAGCATTCTCCAATGTCTTTCTCGGCGCACAAGGACACATTTGGATCTCACTCACCTGGCCTAGATTTTGGATCGGAACATGGAGCGTGTCTAGGAACTCTTCCGGACCCTCAGCGACGCCACGGAGGACTCCGAGTTCGCGGTGCGGCACTTCGCCAAGGACATGGGATGCGGCTTTCGGCCGAATCGGTCCGTGTTTTGGCACCCTTTCAGGTAGCTGGGGGAACCGGGCCATATGGAAGGGGAACGCAAGGGAATGGCTGAGACATATTGGGAGCAGTTTTGGGGATGCCCGCACCAGGTATGTTTGAGCGACTTCGAGACTGTAAGGCAACATGGCTTGTCCTCTTGGACTCTTTGGAGAGCGGCTTATGGCTCGGACGTCAAACTATGGCCCAGTCTTTGCTAAGCGCATCACTTCGTATTGGCCGGTCTTTCTTTGCTCCATCGGGGATTGAGGCTTCCTGCTCGGCTCTGGGCTCAAGGCACGAGATCGGCCTGTAGATTCATACTGCGGAAAGCTACCCCGCGTGTATTCCATAAATACTGATGGCCGTTCTCGCCGCGAGCTCAACCAGAGCGCTTCCGTGAGATCGGGTGCTTTTAACAGGCCGCAATGGAGAGCAGGTGACAGTTTCATGAAAACCATGTTTAGTCACCGGGCTCTCCATACAATTAGAGGTCAAGTGAGTGTGATTAGAAATCAGCTGAGTGTAGCTACGGTGCATGCACCACGAGCTGCATCGTTCAAGCCCGGCTTTCAGGCAACTGCCCCCAGCCAGTTCCCGGCGCTTTCTTTTGCAGCCTTTGTGCCCGCATGACATGGCTGTGTCGCTTTATGGGGGACTCCCCAAAAAGGTGCCTTTCCTTTAGATTTCCTTCAAGCCCCCCCCAAAAAAAGTACCAACAAAGAAAAGACACCCCATGTCCATAGTTTGTGGGCCAGCTACCTGCAATGCGGGGCGCCCGGCAGGCCCAATATCTCTCTCGCCTTCCGTCCAGGCCTCTGCGATGAAGATGCTGAATGCCGGCAGCCCCAGTTCGCGGGATAGGGGAAAGGAACAGCTACATGGTAGACTATTTGTTTTTTCTCAGTTGTTTGGCCTGGTGCCCGGCACCTGTAGGTTTTGACAGCTTGGGGAGGGATTGTTTGGAAGCAACTTCCTGTAGACTTGCCTGGTTCAGTCCCTTTTCGTGGGAATCTGCGGGGTGATTCATGGATAGCTAAGCCGGTGCAAGCTATAAGAGGAGGTGAGGAGACCCTGATGAAGAAACCCTCATGCATTGTTTTTGAATGTGAGCTCGTCATTGATGTACGATCGTGGCCAACTTGTCTTTTTGAGACCCAAGCTTTCAAATAACTTTAGACGGACCTCAGGCGGCTGCATCTCAGGTGCTTGGTGTGGCTGGATGTGCGGAGCGAGATAAGGCCCGACGCTCGAGACTTGCTGATCGCTTGTTTTTCGGTTATGTGAGTTATGTGCCTGTCCCTTGAAGAAATGCCAGGATGTTCCTGGCCTAGACTATTTGCGGGTTGAGTGAAATGGGAGGATTGCGAAACTGCAACACACTAAAATACGAGTTCGCAATTAACAGATGCCGTGGAAGTGAGCATCAGGCGTTGCACTTTTTGGGTTGCCTCGCTTTGGCCCGTGAGAGGACAGCGCGGTTCCCGGGAAGGCTCAGGCGCGGGAAGAAGCAACCGAACAAAGAGACGCCATCACTCAGTCGCCTCTTCCCAAGCCGAACGAACCCAAGGCCAACCACTTCCTTTTTCGGCAGCGGGGCTTCTGCTTACCGCCCGTTGAGTTCAGAAATGAGGTGCGGCCACACTTTGGGTTCTGTACGTGGGTTTGGGCAGAAACAAGCGCACGTCCACTTCTGAACCCTTTGTTTCCTTTTGCAGATGCTTGATTGAGCTTCGAAAGAAACTCAAAGGCATGCGGCATGAGCATGATACTCCAAACTCCCAACCCCATGTGTATTTCACGGTGTCTTACTTCCTGTCTTCCGCATATCGCACAAAAGACGGTGCCCTTTTCCCGCGAGGCGAAGCGAACTCCGGAGACCTCCAAGTGCGGGCGCCCGTTGAGTCGAGTGCGCAGATTTGGCAAATTTGGAACGCGGGGCCCTCGCTTTCCAAGGTCCATGACCACTCCGCAGGGTGGCCCAGCTGCCTTTGCTTTACCCTGAAAGAGTGCTCCATGCCAGCGGAGCCTCAAGCTGCACAGCTTTGCCCAAATTTGGAACGTAGCTGCACTCGATCTTTCTTGGCAACACTCAGCCTATAAGCAAGCAAACTTTACTGCACATGCAGCAAAATCCCCTTCGTTTTTCAGCGACCAAACAAAATCATGCGAGCACATTGCAGACTGCAACCCGCATCTGGTTTTTTGGCCTGGATACCGCGCTCAGCGGCCATGACCTGCTGCTGGGATGGACTGTGCTCCCTGTGGGGGCGGGAGAGGGTGGAAACCTTTGAGAACCTGGAGCGGGGGGCGGGTGGAAGTCGTCGCGTGTTCAGCGGTGATTTGCCAGCTCCAAACTGTTACAGGGCTGATACCGTGAAGGGAAGCCAGACAAAGACCACCGCATTTTGGGAGGTTCCCCTTGAAGACAAGCGACTAGCCCATACCTGGAGGCCGTCCTCATTCCGGAAAACGGAGGAGACGGTTCTCAGATGGAGAATCCAGGCCCGCTGGTCACCCATAGATGGTAATATGCCTTTGTTTTTGCCATGCATTCGCCTAGAATTCGGGGGGAGCTCTTTTTTAATGCCGCGGAGGCACCGTGTAGGCAAGTCTGGTGGAGAAAAAGATCGCAAGCGTCCCCGTAAACTATTCAAAAAAGCATAACTACCAGAGTAGTTAGTTACAGGGCCAACACACCAGACAAACTACTCAATTGTGATGAAGGCGAGAGTCATAGGCAGGGATCGGTCCACTTGCCAGCGACAAGCCGGCCACCAAGCCGCTTGGATCCTTCAGGAGCGCACGCGTAAGGGTAGCTGGACCTCCCCGTTGCCTTCCCCGCAGCCGGGCAAGGGCGAGCGCCGAGCGCGTCGGTTTTGAGCTCATTGATCAATCCAAAAAAGGGCCCCCCAACTGGCCCACTTGACGGCGGGCAGCTTTTTCTATTTGAGACATGTCGCCTTAGTGGTTTCCGATGGTCAGCCCATGATGCCGATGTGACCTTTTGATCAACCCCCGAATACAAGGGCGCCATGTGGCTGTTGCAAGCAGCCCATTCTTGCCCTGAAATCGACAGCTACATTGGCGTTGAGCAAAAGTAGTGGAGAAAGGGCGGTCTATCCAAGGCAGCTGAAAGTGGGCGAGCCTATGTCGCTGGACGCTGATTTCGTGGAATGGTTCTTGGACGAGGCCTTGCCCCTTTTGGAATGGCGTTCTCGCTTTGGCTTCCATGGCCTCAGCTTCCGAGCGTTGGTACTGGGTCTGGAGCTGGCTCAGTGTTGAGCTTAAGCCTCCTATTTCCTGAGCACCGCAGGTTTTGTTTTTGGTCTGGTATGACGTTTTGCTCACGGCGATTTGTTACTGGGGAGCCAGGCCCGTCGCATTCAATGTGTTTTTACATACCGCGATACGCTTTGTCGGGTTGGTGTAAAGGGAAGCCGAGAAGGGCATCACCCGGTTCCATGTTGAGCTTCTGACATCGACTGTCCCACTTCGGGACCAACCCCAAGCCGACTTTGGGGTTCCAGGCACACCGAGCACAGGTCGACCACACCCCGCGCTTTAGTGACTCCCTGGACCCCGACGGGCAAGCGCATCCCACGGCGGGCACCAAGCACTTCCTGACGGAGCAGCTGCCTTTTGGCTCAAACTGGGACGAGCGAGTCTACGTTGTTTTTGGGTAGAACAAGGTGACCCATGAAGGGTCCTTTCTTTTGAGATAGGTGTTTTGAATCGGGCTCCTAAGACCCCAAAAAGGGTGCAAATGGGATTGGGAGGGGGACTCAATGCTCGGAATTCCTTGATGGCAACCCATTCGCCTCAAATGGGATAAATGGAAGCCGTTCCCGGTAATGGGGGCGTTGGCTCGACTTCTTGGGTATCCTGTTCTCAGCAAACGGCGTGCAACCTCACACATTGCTTCTCGCTCTCGACCATGGGAACGGAGCCTCGGGAAGGCAAAGCGCCCGTCCGCTTGCCAATGCGCATCTGTTTCCTGTGGGATGGCCTCTTCTTCGATTCCCATGCCCCATGCCGCCCATACGAGAAAACCCCTTGATATCCAAACCTCATGTATGTTTTGGGGGCTAAACCACCGATCTCTTGCATTTGCTCGTATTTCTTCCATGTTGTTGTCCAAGCTTACCTTCAATGGGAAACCAACATGACCCCCCCAAAAAAAACATAAGAGGAAAAACAAAAAATAAAAACGCCCTCCAACCCCAAAGAAAAAGCCGTAGACGACGGCCCAGTTTTTTTGCCGCCCATCCGAGGGTCCACTACCCCGGGTCCCTGCCGCTGGCGCTGAAGCCGGAGGAGCGCGAGCGGATCCTGCGGGTGCTTCAGCCCACGGCCACCTTTGAGATGCTCAGCCCTTCGCACGGAAAGCGGGGCAGGTCAGCTAGGCAGAAAGTCTAGCTGCTGATTTTCACCCACGGGGACTTGCAACCGCAAGTGGGTTGGAGCCAGGGGTAATTCAATACAGTATTTTCAGACAGTGTAAACAACTAATCTAGAAATCATTAATCCACAAATGAATATTGCATTCTGAGATGAGTCTTGCAACCATGGAGCTTCATATCAATCAGAAAGCAGGGCAGGTCAGCTAGGCAGAAAGTCTAGCTGCTGATTTTCACCCACGGGGACTTACAACCGCAAGTGGGTTGGAGCCAGGGGTAATTCAATACAGTATTTTCAAACAATGTAAACAACTAAACTAGAAATCATTAATCCACAAATGAATATTGCATTCTGAGATGAGTCTTGCAACCATGGAGCTTCATATCAATCAGAAAGCGGGGTAGGTCAGCTAGGCAGAAAGTCTAGCTGCTGATTTTCACCCACGGGGACTTACAACCGCAAGTGGGTTGGAGCCAGGGGTAATTCAATACAGTATTTTCAATCAATGTAAACAACTAAACTAGAAATCATTAATCCACAAATGAATATTGCATTCTGAGATGAGTCTTGC